TGACTCCTGTACTAGGAATTAGCATGAAATAAACTAGCTAGAAATGTTTTAAAAAATTAAAATATTAAAAATGGAATAAAATGATTTTAGATAGAAGATTCATAAAGTGACTGTCCACTAAGTGTTCAGTAAGTAGGGTTTCTGGGGTAAACAGTGTTTCCCAGTGCAACAAGTGAAATCTCAGCATGGAGGCCATTTACGTGTTCCAGCCGGCAGGGCGGGGCCTCCCCAGGCACCCCAGACTGCAGTGGTGCCTGGCATCTGTAACTTGCCTTCTGTTCTCTGAGCGCTTGAGCGGGAAAGGGTCACCTGACACCTTTGTGGTACAGGGAAATCGGCTTGAGGCCACCTGAGAATTGTTGATTAGCCATTTCTTTGAACAGTTCTTGGCTTTGCTTTACATGCAGAGTTCCACAGCTAGAAAGATGTGGCTTCTCCAGAGTGCACTGGCTTGTTCTTGGCATTCTTCTCCACCCCTGCCCCTGCACCCTTGAGTCCCTGACTGCAGGAGAGAAGCCAGAGGCTCCGGTGGGACTTGGTCAGCAGCGAGGCAGAGCGCCAAGAGAGGTGCCCAGGGCCCAGCCCTCTGAAGAGGCTCACCTTGATTTTCTTCATGAGATGTTACCCCCTCCCCACTACCCACTGACCTGCCATGGGAGTCAGGAAGAAGCGGAGGCCCCGCATCTCTGCCCCCGTTCTTCGTGGGCTGGTGAGAATGCTGGTCATGGAGAATCTGCTGGAGTTTGGCCTACAAGACCTCCTGGTTTCCATTTGCTTTAGGTCTCGCTGTGCAGACGGAATGGGAAGAATAGCTGTTTTGGTTGTCACCGGCGCTCACGGGTCCTGCAGCTGGCAGCAGGGGCCTGGGCAGGCCAAGAGTGACTGGCCCTGCAGCAGCATCACCAGGGAACTTGATAGAAACACGAATGTTCGCTGAGCCTAGCTGAAGCAGAAAGTGTGAGTGGGGCCAACAATCTCCCAGGAAGCCCTGGCCCTCCACTCTGAATGACCCCACACCCGGTCTTAGGTCTAGTTGGAAGTTGTGGTAGCAGTGCCTGAGGGCTCTGATGGGAAATGCTCCCACGCCCTCCAGTTCTTCACTTCTCCAGTTTTCTGCTCTATCCTTGACCAGGAGGACATGACTAAAAGTTTCTACTTGTGATAATATTTTAATCCAACACATTTCAGTATGGAAATAAGTATTAAATGTGGAGCTGAGGATGAAAGTTCTAATAGACTTCGTTTCCAGCACAGGTTCCAATTCTTGCTAAATTCCCATTGCCTTGGGCTCGAAGGGCCTCAGTCCAATGTCCTCTTTACATGTTTGAGAAGTTGTTTTTTTCCTTTTGCTTTTTGGGTCACACCCGGCGATACACAGGGGTTACTCCTGGCTCTGCACCCAGGAATTACTTTCGGTGGAGCTCAGAGGACCATATGGGATGCTGGGAATCAAATCTGGGTCGACCACATGCAAGGCAAACAACCTACCTGCTGTGTTATTGTTCCAGCCCCTTGAGAAGTGTTTTTAAAAAACAACTTGTTTCACAAAAGCTGGGGTGGGGCATTTCTAGGGAAGTCATGAAGGTCACCAAGACGGAAAACTTGTTCCTGCTGTTCTCACACCAGCAACACCAAGTTATGGGGCTTTCCCTTTTCCACGGAACAATTCTGGCACTAACCAACTCCTCTTCCCATCCACTAGCCTGTCCTAATCTGTGAACCTCCTGTGAACTTCCCCTCCTAGGGTCCTCTGGTTTGCTAGAGAAGCTCTAGAATTCAGGAAGGCACTTGACTTACTAGACCCAGGTTCTTGTGAAGACAGCATCTCAGAGCAGCCAAACAGAAGTGAGCAGAGGGCAGGCGGTGTTGGGATGGCAGTATGGTGGCCATCCCCACTCTGGGCTTCCCCATCCCAGCACCTCTGAGGGTCACCAGAGTCTTAGGGCTTTGATTGGGATCTTGATGGAGGCAGAATTGATAAAAATCACTTGCCATTGATGAGTATGTAGCCACTCTTCCTCAAAACCTGGGGTGTGGGGGGGCTGATGATTATAGTCTTCTGGAGATGAGCACTTCTCCAAAAGTTACTGTGTTATCATGAATTCTGGCACAAAGGGGTTTGTTATACATGGCTGAAAGGATTTATTCTACATGACCAAAAAGTGCTCTTTTCATCTTATTATTCAAGAAATTACAAGGGTTTTAGGGGCTTAGTGCCAGGAACGAGAATGGAGAGATTAAATCCAGTTGTTTCTTCTTAGGTCACAGTATCCCAGATAACTAATCTCAGAAGCAGCAGTTTCTGTCCGATCTAGGACCTGATTCGCAGTGGATGTTTAATAAGTCATTGCAGCATGCCACAGTCAATGGTTTTTACACATTATTAGGCACGTAGTAAATCAACAACCCACGTCTTTTGTTCTTGGATAAGGCAGTGTGGCAAAGGTGACCACAGTACCACTATGGCTTCACTGTGACCTGTATATTACATGCAATTTTTTAAATTTGATGTGGGGGCTGCTCTTCAGAGGATCTTGGGTCATATCTGGCTGTTGTCAGGAGGCCATGCAGTACAGAGGGTCCAACCCAGGGCCTTGCTCTAACCACATGAGTTGTGTCCCTGGACCCCCCAGATTCTTTTTTAATGAACATAGTAAGTTCATTAGTTGACAGGTAAGAAGGGTGAGGATCAACCTCCTTGAAATGGATTACTTTAAGTTCAACACTGAAACTACCAGAGATCTGCACTGAGGAGAGTGCACTGCTAGCAAAGACCGGCAGGCAGGCAACGTCTGTGTCACCTACAGAAATGCACTGAGTGCCATGTGCCCTGTCTGTTTACTGAGATATTCCCGTGATACAAGCAGCATGTGATTACCAGTGACCAAGAGCAAAACCGGAACCCCCACATTTGTGGGAGACTGGCATCTGCTGTCTTAATAAGAAACATCAGAGGACTGTAGCCCACGTGGGGGGAAACCACAGCTGCTTCTCTATTACAGCTGTGTTGTTTACACCTTGTGCAGTGGGGAGTACTTTGCCTTACTCAGTGCACTTTCAGCTCTTCATCCTGCCGGAAGAAGTTATGATGCCTGAGCCACAGACCTAAACAAGGCTTGGTGAGCCTTTAGCTCAACCAGCTTGTTTAGCAAAGCCCTTTCTGGTGGCTCCCACACTTATGGTCCGCAGGACGTTTATGATGGTACCCATCAGTGTTCTTTTCCATGCTGCCAGCACCCGGGTCTTCTCTGATGTGATCAAATAATGCGTAAGATGAAGTTGACTTAAATAGCCTTTTCACCAGGCCACCGTGGGCTGTGCTTTGTGTTCCTCTTCGAAGGGCGAGTGGGAAGGGAACCAAGCAGATGGAGCCTCCCAAGCGTCCATAGACTGGCATGCTGGGAGGCACGGCCAGCTGTCGCCAGTGTTCAGGTTTCAGGTTTGGAAGCTGGCATCCCTGACTCCTCTCTCCTTCTCCGGGTCTGTCAGGAAAATGAATGATGCCGGTCACTTAGGGACCGTTTCCTGATAGCCACCCGTGACACGCGGGCCTTGGTGCTTCTCCTCTTCCCCGCCCAGCACGCTGACAGGGAATGAGATGCAGGCGGCCGGCGACCAGGCCAGACTCCCATGCGTCCCCCGGCGCCCAAGCACCGCTTGGAGCGTCGCTCAGCACGGCCGGAGTCTCGATGCTGCTGCCGAGGACCCCGCAACCGGGCTGTGAGCCTGCAGAAGAAACGCGGACCTGGGCCGAGTCCCTGTCACGCCCCGATTCTCGTCCCACACCCTGGCCCGGAGCGCGTGGCCGGAACCGAGCAGCACCGAGCCCCTTCGCGGCCTCCGGGGCGGTGCGCGGGGCTGTCCCTGGTGGGTGTGGGCCGCACCCGGCCGTGCCCAGGGACCAGGCTGCGGGCGCAAACGTTTGGTGCCCTGAGCGACGCCGGGCGGGTACCGGGTAGGCCGCGCAGCCCGCGCCTCCCGCTGCGCCGCCCCTCGGGCTCGGGGCGTTCCGGCCGGCCTGACGGGGGCGGCCCCCGGCCTCGTCCCCGGTCCAGGCTGCCGGCCGGCCTCTTCCCGCCCCCAGGATGAGGCTCCCGGTCCCCAGCTCTCGGCCCCAGCTCGCCCTCCCGCTGGGGCCCCTCCGGCCCCGCGGCCTTCCGGGACGGGCCCCGCCTCTGATTGGCCGGCGATGACCTCATTGTTCGGGACATCCGGGCCCTTCCCCCTCCTTCCGCCCGGGGCCGCAGCGGGCGCGGCTCCGACGGGCGTCCGCCTCCTCCAATGGGGGGCGGGCAGGACATTGTGAGCCAATCGGACGCTGGTGCTCGCGCCCTGGGCGGGGCCGTCGGCCCCCGGTCGGAGCTTCTCGCGCGGCGTGCTGGCAGCCCGGGCCGGGGCCACGGGGTCCGCAGAGGCCGCGCGCGCCACACGGACCTCGCCTTGACGTCTTCGAAGTCCAGCCAATCGCTTTTCAGGCACTTCCCCGCCCTCTGCGCGCTTATTTGAAAACCGCCGGTGTGACGGACTTCGAAATTGTCCCGTGACGGACACGCAGAGCGAGCCAATGACTGAGCGCCCGGGCCCCCATGGCGGCCAATAGGAGAGAGACTAGCTAGGCCCCGGCCTCCGTGGGGCGGGGCCAGGTGGGCGCGGTTTGATCGACGGCTGCTTCCGCCTATGCCGCGCAGCGGGTGGGCCTTGGCGCGCCGCGGGGCGGCGGAGGCGGAGCTGTTGAGGCGGATGCTAATGAAGGGCCGGTCTCCCTCGGTGGGCGGAGTTTGATGGATAGTTGACCGCACCAATCGAAGGCGGCCGCCGCTGCCCAATGGGCGAGCAGGCGGCCGGAGGCGGGGGCCTGTGGGCGGGGCGAGGTGAGTGCGGACCGCCGGAGGCCGGCGAGACTGGCGGGGCTGCCGGCCAACCGGGCGCGGGGAGGCCGCGCGCGGCGCCAATGGGGCGGCCGGGGCGGGGCCGCGGGGCGGGGCGCCGGGCGGGGCGGGGCGCCGGGCGCGGAGCGGCGGCTGCTCAATGGCGGCGCGGCGGCCGGCGCTGTGAGCCGCGGCCCGGCGGAGCGGGCGTCGAGCGGCGGCCCGAGGCCGGGTCTCTCGGGGCGCGCCGGGCGGAAGATGCTCCAGGGCGACGCGGCGGCGGCGGCGGCGGCGTGCGGGAGGGGCGTAGGCGGCGGCGGCGGCGAGCGGGGCCCGGCGCAGTAGGCGGCGGCGGACGCCCCTCGCTCCTCGCCCGCGCGCAGGTGAGGCCCGGCCGTTGGCGGGCGGGACGGGCGGGGACGCGCGGGGACGCGGCACGTGGGCGGCGGCGGCGGCGGCGGCGGCCCGCGGGGACCCCTCCCCCCGCCCCGCGGAGACCCCGCCCCGGCCCCGCGCCCCCGCGCCCCCGCGCCCCGCCGCCCGTTGCTCCCCTGGGCCCGGCCCGGAGCCGCCCGAACTTGGAGCACCTGTTTCCGAGCCCGACCCCCGGCGTGGGCGGCCGGCCGGGGCGGCGACCCCCGCACTGGCGGCCCCTTCCCGGGACAGCTGACAGGCACGTGGCCGGGCCCTGCCCAGAGGCCGCCCGGCCCGCGGGGGACGGGGACGGGGCCGGGGGACGGGGACGGGGCCGGGGCCGGGAGCGGGGCCGCTCGGACCCGGGTCACCGGGCCGCCCGCGCTCTCCGCGCGCGAAAGCCTCCGAGGCTGCCCGTGGACCTCGTGGTGGTGCGTGGACCTGGCGGCCGTGCCCAGCGCAGGGACCCTCCCACCCAAGCGGGCTCCCGGGCCCTCCTCGCGGGTCCTGGCTCCGCCCGGGCCTGCGCCGCGGGGGTCGCTGCCGGCAGCGCCCCGGGACCCCCCAGCGGTGGGGCGCGGCAGAAGCCCCCGCAGCCCGCAGGGCCGAGCGACCAGGACGGGGGCAGGTCCGGCTCTCGGGACCGGGGGGCCTTGCCTGCGGACGTGCTTGGGTGGGGCCCATCCGAGCCGGCTCTCGGGAGGGGACCGGGAGGGGACGGAGCCCGGGCCGGGGGCCGCGGGGACCTCGCGCCCGCCGTCCCGCGGACTGAAGCTGCCCCGTGGGTCGGCCGTGTCCTGTGGGTTTGAGACCCTGCTGTGTGCGGCCCCCGACTTAAGCCACCCTGGGAGTGGGACCAGGAGCGCCCACCCCAGCCTGCCCCTAAGCGGGCAGTGAAGGGAGCGCGGCCGGCCTCGCTGTCAAAGAACGAAGTGACCAACTGACCTCCGACAAGTAGAGGCCCAGGGCCTCAGAGTCTCCTTGGCATCAAAGCACTGGTTTTGAAAAGAAAATGACCTGTGGTTTGAGCATACTTACACACGTTTCTAAAGTGATTCAAATCTCTATAGATTGGATGTTTTTTCCTAATTTTTTTTTTTTTTTGTCCTTTTTGGTCACTTCCGAGGTGCTCGGGTTACTCCTGGCTCTGTACTCAGGAATCGCTCCTGGTGGTGCTGGGGCTGCTGTATTGGATGCCAGGGATCGAACCTGGGTCAGATCAAACCCAGGCCGGCCCCATGCAAGGCAAACGCCCTACCTACCCACTGCTCCGCCTCGCTCTGGCCCCAATTTTGGAGTCTGATGTTGAAAAATCAAGGTGGTTTTTATTGCTGTGAAGTTGATATCTTAAATACCTCGACGTTTAGAAATGTAGTTGGAAAACTTGTTCCATCTCGCTGGACTTGAGAGGCTCATGGTTTGCTATGTAGAGGAGCGAAAAGAGAAACTTTGGAAAACATCTGTGAAATATTAATGCAATCAATCGGTTTACTCCGAGAGGTGGGACCAGTTCCTGGCAGAGACAGGAGAAGGCCTCTGGTCACACTGTGCTTTTGGTCGACATAGTATATCTTAACCTGGTTTGTGAGTGAAAAGTGTATTTGAATAATAGAACATAAGGGGCTGGAGCGATAGCACAGCGAGTAGGGCGTTTGCCTTGCACGCAGCCAACATGGCCAACACAGGTTCGATTCCCAGCATCCCATATGGTCCCCTGAGCACCGCCAGGAGCAATTCCTGAGTGCATGAGCCAGGAGTAACCCCTGAGCATCGCCGGGTGTGACCCAAAAAGCAAAAAAAAAAAAAAAATAGAACATAAAAATCTTTCCCTTCAGGGACTAGGGCGGTACATTGGGTAGGGGACTGACTTGTCTTAACGCGCAGTCGACCTGGGTTCAATCCCTGGCACCCCACATGGTCCCTCAGCCCCTACCAGGAGTCAGCCCCGATCACCGCCTTACATTCCTTCATCTGAAACTTTAAAAATAATTTGGGGGACTGGAGAGAAAGATGGCATAGCAGACTGGGAGCTTGCCTGGCACATGGCTGACCTGGGTTTGACCAGGGACCATGTGGTCCCCTGAGCACCACCAGGAGAGATCCGGAGCTGTAGTAAGCCCTGAGCACTGCAGAATGTGACCCAAAGAACAAAAAAAAAAGTAACTTTTGTTGTGAATAATACAAATTTTAATTTAAGAAGCAAACTGAATGAATCCATTGTTTGGTAGACTTGATGAAGGGTATGTAATTTGCGAATTTCTAGAAGATTTCAGAATACTTCAAAACTTGAATAATGGTACTGATTCTTGATCCCATTTTATTTTCTTCATAGAGTTGGATTCAAATGTACTTGTAATAGTGAGAAAGGATTGTTCGTAAAATTCTTGTATGTTGGCGAGTCTAGGTTGTCTCTGGGCCTTGTGGCGCTTAACCCATCCTGGCAGAGACTGTTCACTCCGCGGGCATCAGGGGGAGGCGGCCAGCCTAGTGATCCTGCTTGAGGTGATAGAACACGTGGGGTTAGAGGTGGCGGTGGCACTTCCTGCTTTCCTTCCAGGCCCTGTGGTGGTCATAGGCCTCAGCCTCCCGTGACAGAGCTCCAGTTGTCACCACAGGACCGTGGTGTGTCTGCCTTTGCTCTTCCGGCACTGTGTGCTTCGGGAAGGGGTTGCCTGGGTGCACTTGGAGATGGAGTAGCTGTTCTGATTCTGCGTTGTTCTGTAGCTTTCCCAGTGATGATCCAGCCCCTTCCTGTGTTCACCCAGTGCACATCAGAGATTTGCAGGAGAAATCTTTCGTTTTCCTTGTAATGTGCAGTGGTTTTTGCTTCATTTGTGTCATTGAGTCAGTCTTGTGATCACTGCAGTAAATCGAGAGTGATTCTTTATTGGAAAGCAAATCAGATGTGCTTTTAGCGCCCAGAGTATAAACGGCCACAGGCGTTGTCGTGAGCACTCAAACCAACCTCGAGGTACTACTTAGATTTTAATTTTTAAAGATTTTTTGTTTTTGGGCCACACTGGCGGTGTTCGGGGGTTTCTTCTGGCTCTGCACTCAGGAATTACTCCTGGCAGTGCTCAGGGGCGCATATGGGAGACTGGGGATCGAACCCAGGTTGGCCGTGTGCAAAGCTAGCACCTTGGCCACTGTGCTATGCCTCCGGCCCTTTATTTATTTATTTACTTATTTTGGTGGGAGGTATGCCAGGTGGTGCTCAGGGGTCATTTCTGGCTTGCACTCAGGAATCACTCCCGGAGGCCTGGGGATGCTACGGGGGTTGCTGGGGATTGAAGCCAGGTCTACTTTTATTTAACACGTTTTTGTTACTGTTATTTTCATGTAGTGCCAGTGTGCAACAAAACTTGAAATTTTATTTGTTTTCAAACAGACACTTTTATTGGAAAATAGAAGGGAAAGAAAGGGAAGGAAAAATCCCTGACACCGAAGGAATTTATTATAGGACTAAGTTCAAAATCTGCACTCTTAAAATATATTAAATTTAGTGTTGTAATTCAGACCAGGCTCATCAAGCCATTCAACATTTGGAATTTACTAGTAGCTTAGGTGAAAAAAAGGTTGTAATTGGATTTTTATATCAAACTTTTATTTGTGCGTTGGGCCAGAGCGATAGCACAGTGGGCAGGGCATTTGCCTTGCACGTGGCCGACCCGGGTTTGATCCCCAGCATCCCATAGGGTCCCCCAGAGCACCACTAGGAGTAATTCCTGAGTACAGCCAGGAATAACCCCTGAGCATCGCTGGGTGTGACCCAAAGAGCAAAAAATAAATAGTGGGGGCTGAAGCAGTAGCACAGCGGGGAGGGCGTTTGCCTTGCACAAGGCTGAGCCGGGTTCGATTCCCAGCATCCCATATGGTCCCCTGAGCACCGCCTGGGGTAATTCCTGAGTGCGGAGCCAGGAGTCACCCTGTGCATCGCCAGGTGTGACCGAGAAAGCAAAAATAAATAAATAATAGAGCAAAAAATAGATAAGATTTATTAGTGCTTTAATGATTGTGTGTGCAGAAGTAGGTAAATGAGTTTCTGTTAAACGCTTGTGCAGTATTTGGAGCCAGAAGTATGAAGGTGAGAAAATTTGCAGTTCAGTACAAATGGTTTTCAGTTACGATCCCCTTTTGTCTTTATTTTAGAGACTCTTGCCGTGGGAAGTAGGAGCGTGGCTGGATTAGTGGTGATGTAGATCACATTGCTGCATTCTGGGGGCGCTGGGGCCATTCCCGGGCCATGCCCGGCTGTGCTCCGTGGCTGCTCCTTGCTCTGTGCTCAGGAGTCATTCTTGGTGGTGCTGGGGGAGCTGCCTTCGGCTGCATGTAGGCCGTGTGCTTGGCCCCGGGTCCTGGCTCTGGCCCACGTCACTTATTGCATTCCTGGAGTCTGTCTCTGGAGCAGGTGTGTATTTTATAAAGTTGGGGATATTTGCTGGTCATGTTTTTGATGTATGTTGCCTTTTTTTTTTTTTTGGCCTGTTTTTGCTTACTTGATTTTTCTTCCAGTGGTTTTCATCTGGTCTGAAAACAGGCGTATGCACGTCTACGGTCTATTGGTACTGCGGAATATGCTACACTGTGATTATCCTGGAGGGTAGAATTTATACAGGTTGGGCTTTTGTTTTCTTTTGGAAATAAATTGTATTGCAATTTCTGAGTCAACAGCAAGGCATATTTTGACTATAAATAGAGGAAGAATTGATTCTAGAGACTGGCTAAAATACCATTGACCCTGCATTTGCTCGCGTTTGTCGGACCACTGGGTGTGCTGCCTGCCAGCTTTGTACCCAGGAGTCACTCCTGACGGGCTCAGCTCACTGTGCTCTCTCCAGCCCCCTCTAGAAATAACACGGTGAAAATAAGGGTCGTGTTGGATATTGGGGTAAAACAGTTGCGGCTGTGCGAGCTGGCAGTACCTTCAGGACTGTGTGGAGATGGTCAGGGACAGCTGCTACCCGTGGTG